AGTCCCAATCGAGAAAGTTCATACTTAGCCAACCTCTATTACATACGAGAAACATCCTACAACACTACTGACCTGAATAGATTTGTACAAGAGAACGAACCAAAACTTACTTCAGAACAGCGATTAATATATAATGAAGTCATAGCTAACGTAAACCAAAACATAGGAAATGTTTACTTCATAGATGCACCTGGGGGAACGGGTAAAACCTTTGTTACTTCATTGCTTCTAGCTAAAGTTCGTAGCGAAAATAAAATTGCAATCGCAGTGGCGTCCTCGGGAATTGCTGCCACGCTTTTGAGTGGAGGAGGAACTGCTCATTCCACTTTCAAACTACCACTCAGCATTTTACCGGAACAAAGCTGCACATGTTCGATAAAAAAAAATAGTGCCGCTGCTAAGATTCTTCAGCAGGCATCACTGATTATATGGGACGAGTGTACGATGTCCCATAAGTCTCATATTAATGCCGTCAATACAACTCTTAAGGACTTGAGATCATCTGATGCGGTAATGGGCGGAATTAGTTTTGTGTTCACAGGCGATTTTAGGCAAACACTACCTGTGGTTCCGAGAGGCACACGAGCTGATATCGTTAATGCTTGCTTAAAAGCTTCGGAAGTTTGGCCATATATAAAAAAATTGCATTTATCAGTTAACATGCGCGCGTACCTCAGTGTAAATAGCTGCTCTGAAGTATTTGCTCAGTACCTTCTACAAATAGGCAACGGTTCAGCAACTATAACACGCAATGGGTATGTTACCATGTCGGATATCGTAGGAACCTGCGTAAGAAGTATTGATGAGCTTATTGATAATGTTTATCCAAACATTGCAAACATACAAATTATTAATTCCAATTGGCTTTGCGAACGTGCAATTGTCACTTCGAAAAATTCGGCAGCAGAAGATATCAATGAAGCAGTATTGAGCAGAATTTCAACAGAATACAAACTCTATAAGTCTGTAAATTCAGTAACTGACCCCAACGATGTGGTTCATTACCCTGTGGAGTTTCTTAACTCCTTAAACCCCGCAGGTATGCCTCGACATGAGCTAAAACTTAAATCTGGAACACCCGTAATTCTTTTACGCAATCTTAAGCCACCCGAGTTGTGTAATGGTACGCGTCTTCAAATCATACGTTTTTTTCCCAATCTTATAAAGGCAAAAATTTTGACCGGTCCGGCAACGGGAGAAATAACGATGATTTCAAGGGTACCAATGATCCCAACGGATTTGCCATTTACGTTTAAACGTGTCCAGTTTCCAGTAAATACATGTTTTGCCATTACCATTAATAAGTCCCAAGGGCAGACCTTTAACGTTGTCGGCATTGATCTCCGTAACGAAGTGTTTACGCATGGCCAATTATATGTGGCACTTTCACGTATCGGTTCATCACAAAATCAAACTTTTCTTATTCCCGGAAATGGAAATGAAACGCAAAACGTTGTTTTTACTGAAG